CAAAACATGGTAGTTCATCATTATAAACATGAGACCAAAACAAATAGTTTACAGTATGCCAAGTTCACACATGTTTCAGAAATAATTTGATTCAATTGATAATATAATAATTTATCAAAACAGTTTAATCATGAAACAACAATTTAATTTTCCAACAATTCAGGGTAGGGGAACATTTATAAAAATATGTAACATGAAACTACTCACCTGAAAATGAAATAATATAATCCTCGAATAAAGTATGAAAGTCCAACTAGTGCCCTGAACCAAGTATAAAAAAACTACACGTCACAACTAATTTAAAAATACTAAAAAAAAAATAGGAACTAAGTAACATCAACTAAAGCGCACTAACACGGCTCAACCCAACACACCGTTACTCTTAAATATTACCTAAGTTCATATTCTTCAAGGTCTAAAATCACCCAAGACATAGATTCCGATCGAAACTTAACTAAAAATAACTTTAAGATAAAACAGAGTTTTAAACAAGTTTTCCCAATCTATTCGCTAACTTTGAAAATTACAAAACCAAGAATTTAAAATTTGAGAACTACTTGATCTACAATGTCACGGTTAAAATATATGGACTCTGGTATTGATGATTGAGCTATAGAATTGTAGATTATTTTCTATTGTTAATTTTGATTTTGTATGTTCACATTGGTCACACCACCAAATCCGGGGCATGAAACCGGCCGTGGCCCCAAGGGACTTTAACCAAGGCACACGTAAGCCTAAACACGAATCCAATCACATTGAACAACTGAACAATAGTCTAATAATAAATAACCAAAACTCAATCCAGACATGCCACAATTATGAACGGCAAAATCAACCGTAATCAAAAGCCATCAAACTTATGGGATATAAACAACCCACAAATAAAAATAATTCTAAATAAAACCCAATCACAAAGTATGCACAAACTCGACAAAGCAACCTAAAAGAAATTAAAAAAATGCCCTAGAGGTCCATGCAATTGAGTCCCCGCTACGCCATGAGTCCACTCTAAGTCCATCAACACCTGGAAATGGTAAAACAACTAAGTCAGCTGATAGCTCAGTGAGTAGCAACATGGAATAGTAATACAGTTTTGAAAACAGGGTTCAATTCAAAATAAGATATATATCACAGAAACTAGATATGGCATACAGTTTGGTAAATACAATCTGTTTCAAAAAGAAGGTTCCACAGTTCAACACTTAAAATCTCATGTCTCGCAAGAACATGATAAACGACATTTTTCACTTAAAACAGATTATAACATGAACACCAATACTTTTTCGTGGGTACCAATAAAAAAATAATCTGCCACACATTTCTCAGGCTATAAGCCCCGTTGGATCCAATACCGAACTAAGAGTCATCCTCAGGGTGGCACCTGGGCCTTTTCTCAAAGACGATCGATTGAAGGTCACCTAGTTGTTTTTAAAGGTCTGTTCCTTACAATCGTGAGCACTAGAGTCCATCACGGCCCAACCCGGATCTGTTCCCTAGTGGCCAGAGTCACCACACACAGTGGAATAATTTCCTGGACTAAATACACACATGGTCCAATAATCAATACACATCAGTTTTCGCAAAACATGGTGGTTTATCATTATTAAACATGAGACCCAAAACAAAATAGTTTACAGTATGCAAGTTCACCACGTGTTTCAAAAAATAATTTGATTCAATTGATACCAAAAACAGGATTGTCAAAACAAGCCTTCCCAACCTATACGCTAACTTTGAAAATTACAAAAACCCACTCCACGCTATTCAAAAAAATTTCCAATAACCTCCAGATATGATCTAATGTATCCTAAGTTTCAAACCCAAATGGTTTCACCTGATTTTTCTATCAAAATAATATTCTACAATTTAATTATATCCAAACAGGTTGTTTTCTGCAGCACTTTAAAGAATTGACGGTTCTCTTTAATATACACGAGCAATCAATCAAGGCCAAAAATTGTACGAAAATAGACTCTAACCGGTTCTAATGAACTAATTTGATTAATTTTTGGATTTATACCCAAAGAGAACAACACTCCCGAATTTACTATTTCGGACTGGTTTCCCGGACAGATTTGAATACCTCATCAATTTATATGGATTTTTGACTCCCAAAAAATTATGAAAAAATTCAGATATACAATTCAATATGTAGTTGATCTACTGTAAAAATTTCAGTTTCAAAATTCATCCGTTTGATATGGTTTCTTGATTTTTAAAGTTTGTGATTCTGTGTGTAGAATTTTGGACTAAGAATTACACCATTCTTTAATCATGAATTTAAAACTTTCCTTCAAATTTTAACGTAGTATATATATATATTACAAAATACATAAACCTACAACTCTCATCAATGATCTATAATAATAAGAGTAAGAAATAAAGAACAAAAACAGAAGAAAAAAAAAGAAGAAGAAAAGATTACCTACCACACCCAAAAATTACCCTCTGTTTGCAAGTCCCTTTTGTTTCTTCTTCTTTCGTCTCAAACTTTCTTCCTCCCCGTGGCTGTTGTGGCTGCTGCTATAGAATGTATTAGGAACTAGGGATTTTTCTTTTCTTTTTCTTGTGTTATACATAACATAAAGCTCTAGACAAAAATGTCCTTTGTTTTATTTTATTTTTTTTATCTCTCCATTAATTTAAATGAAATACAACTACTATTAGAGTCAAAATTATGCTTACTAATTTGACACTAAGTTTTATTTTATTTATTTTTTTTTTTTTTAATAATAAATTCTTGCCTTTTAAATTGAAGACTTTCACCTAAATTTATTTTAGGTTTAAAATTAATTAAAGACCCTCAAATATTTAATTTGCACTTAGAATTCACCATCAAATATATTTGAGGATGTGTATATTTTATTATTATTATTATATTTAATTATATTACTTATTTTTTTATTATTTGGGTCTTCACATTCTCCCACTAAAAGAAAAGTTTCGTCCTTCGAAACTAAACCTGAGTAAATTCATTGTGAATAGATGTGGTACTTCTCGCATCTCGCCTCGCGCTCCCAAAGCGCCTCTTCAACTAATGATTACGCCACAATCCTTAACCAATTTAATTGACCTTTGCTACGCAACCTTTTTTCTCTTTCGAATCCAAATCCTGAACAGGTATCTCCCTCATATGGAAAAATCCTCGTCTATCTGAAGCGGCTCATAATCTCATTCACATGCGACGGATGTTGCACATATTTCCTCAGCATAGACACGGTGGGGGGGGGAAACACATTATCACTCTTGCCAACCTAGGGGGTGAGAACACGTGCTACGCAACCTCACCAACTTTCTCCAAACCTCAAATGGACCAATGTATCTAGACTCAACTTTTCCTTTCTTGTCCAAAACCTTGATCCTCCTTTTCATGGTGATACTTCAAGGAATACCATATCCCCTCATGAAACTTCTTAAGTCTTCTCCTACGATGGTCAGCATTAACTTTTTTTGATTCTTACTTGGGCAGTGTCATAACTCTCTCTGATGGTGATAAATTTTCTGTGTTAGCATCTCTCACCAAATCAGGTCCAATCATTTGCCTTTCACCAACCCATACCAACACAAAGAGACCTACACTTCCTCCTACAAAGGCCTCATAAGGAGCTTACTTCCCAAACTAGAATGATAACTATTATTATAGGCAAATCCATTTGAGCGGCAATATTTCACCAATTACTCTTCCACTCCAAGGCACAAGCCCTCAAATATCTCAAGGCACTACAACAAAGTTGGGATTTAAAGAACGAACAAATTTGTCCCAAAATATGTATTATATTTCGTCACCAAAGTAATTACGACGAACATTTTTCGTCACCGCTTTTGTCGCAAAGGGGTCGTCGCTAAAGGGTCTTAGAGACGAAAAAAAAAAATTTCGTCATTGAAAATGATTAAATTATGACGAATTTTTTTGTCTCCAATACACTTTGTTGGAAACATACTTGATAAGTAATTTGGACAAAATATTTTGTCATTAAAGGAGAGAATTAGAGACAAAAGTA